GAGGCTGTCTTCTAAGAGACAGTGGAGGCGCGAAGGGACTCTGAAGTTAGAGGAGAACGAAGGAGGTTTGAAAGAGTGCTTATGAAGAGGGGGAGCACAAGCTGACCAAACACATCGAGTTGAGCTGCTGGACGGCACTGAGGGTCCATCTGGCACCGAGCAGACAGTCCATCAGTGCTGGTCCACTGAATGAGTGAAGAATGAGTGAGCACGGGAAAGAGCCCGTGAATACCAGGGGAGAGCGAGCAGACGAATGGACGAGTTAACGAGAGAATTTATAATGGTCCCATTGTGCTCTCTGGTGAGATTTTTCTTCCTTGCATTTCCTAGCTGCTCATGCGTCGGTTCATTTAAGGTTGAGATTTGCTGTGGGTATACTAAAAAAAAAGATTGGAATGGAAGTTTAGGGTACTGGCAAGAGTATTACTGAAACAGTGAATCATGGAATATGAGCTGGACAAAAAGGGACGTGAAAAAGAGAGGGCTGGTATGATGGGAAAACAACAGGTCAGTAGACAAGTGGCGGAAGGAGAGAGATTATGTTTAAAGATCAGGATGCCTCAATTCATGGTTTTGGACCACCAAAGGGTGGCTGGGCTGGAAAAGAGAAGGAAATCCTAGGAATGAGGAGGTCAAGTAGTGAGAGGCCAGGGTGTTGTGACCGCTGACACTGGACACTGGAATCATTCTGGGCACTGAGAGGGCTTGGGTTGGAGAAAAGACTGATGCTTTGCAGACTCTGAGAGCTGGATAAGACAGAGCGACCACACATTGGGTTACTGTGCAGACTACAGTCTGAGCTAGGAAAGAACGTTCGCTTTTCATATTATACACTTCAGGGCTCTATGATTTTTTGTTGGCTTATCATTGACAAAAAATGCAATATTAAAACAAAGAGACAAGCATTTGCAAATCAAGCAAAATCATTAATTAAAAAGGCAGTAAGAACAAATACTGCCTGAAACAGAGCTGAGTCTTACTTTGAAGCTAACTTTCTAAGTCACTTTTCTTTCTAGTCACTAAAGAAAAAATATAAAGGGCTGGCCCCGTGGCTTAGTGGTTAAGTGCTTGTGCTCTGCTACTGGCGGCCTGGGTTCGGATCCCGGGCACGCACCGACGCACCGCTTCTCCGGCCGTGCTGAGGCCGCGTCCCACACACAGCAACTAGAAGGATGGGCAGCTATGACATACAACTATCTACTGGGGCTTTGGGAGAGGGGAATAAATAAATAAATAAAATTATTAAAAAAAAAAAAAAAAGAAAGGTCATCTGGGTTTTTACTGAAACCTGTAACAATACTCTAAATATCTGAAGGGAAAAACACCAAAATGACAATGGGGTATTTATTTAACTAAATAAATGGGTACAAGCAAGTCTCCTCATCTAGGTACTATTAATTAGCGAGCACAGTTCTTACTTGAAGGGCCAGAGGATCCTTGAATTCTCTGTCATGGAGATCAGAGACCATTTTTGCATTCTCATAAGGGAATCAAAAACGCAGCTTCTTTTCTTTTTCTTTGGGGAACCCACAATTTAAAAATGTTTTTTATAGAATTCCACTATTTGGGACTATCTTAGGAACTACTAGAGTTGAAGATAACTTTCATGAAGCCCCAAATTTACAATGACCTCCATTGCCATGCCCACTGAGATCCAAACAACCAAAACAAACCTTAAAATATTCAAAATCTGGATAGGAAACAAAATGTTTAATGAGATGTAAATAAAAATAATGTGATGAAAAGATTTAATAAATTAAATGCAAAGGGAGAAATCCCTAGAAATGTCATTGTTAAGACAGAGCTAAACATGATATATTTGACCATACACTCCTGCATTAAATTTCACAAAAGACAAAGAGCAACTTTGTACATCCTCCACAGAGCCTACAGGTACTAGTAACACTGAAGTCTGATGGGAAATGCTACGAATTCTTAAAGATATATAGTGTGTAGACATTCTTCTTCAATGCCCTTCCCTTACAAAAATCATACAATTTGTGGCAACAACACTGTAACAGAGAGGTTGAGGGCTCCCCTTTCTCCTTGTCCAGTGTGTCACCTGCTCTCTTGCTGATTCTGCCCCTAAGCCCATCCAACTGCACAGACAGTGCCGTGGGTAAGTACTCATCATTCCTCGCCTGGCCTACTGGTCTACTAGAATCCTGAATTGGTTGTCCTCCCACCAATCCGTGGCACAGGCAATCTACCTTCTTTTTTGCACCTACAGCTTATTAAATAAACTTCCTTAGAAGAGGTGAAAGATGAATCCTCTGTATATCAAACTGTGCTCTGTAGTAAAATACTTTGTAAGTTCCAGACATCTTTTAAATGGAGACGTAAGTATTCAAAATAGGGATTAATACCTGCTCTATCATCATTAACTTCCACAATATCACAAATTGCTTGCAAGAGCAGCTTAATCAGGATTCAGAGTATGAGCTGGTTGTCTGCCCCTGAAATGACCATGTTGAACTGCATAACTTCCTATTTCCTCCAAACATTTAATTCTAAAATGAAGTGAAGTGAAAAGTAAGCAGGGGATAGTTAAAGGTCTTCTATTTTCAGGCCCATTTACAAAAAAGAAAATTAACCAAGTTAGTTAGAATATGGATTGCTTAAGTGACTTTTAATACAATAATTTTTCTAATGTTAGAAAGCCCATTCTAAATCAAAGATTAGGAGTGCTCTTTTCTCAAAGACATCTGGAGGAAGATAAGGCAATTTTACACGGTGATTTAAAACGATGGTTATATGTGGTTTTATCTTCTTTATCAAATTTTAGGTTGACAGGTAAACTGCTTTTTCTTCCATGGAAAGAAGGAAATATCAGAGGTTGGCTGCAGCTGCGGGTCATCACGGCCTCTCCCACAGGCCTGGATGTGCATTTTGGTGGGAACAGGCAAGAGGAGGAACAAAGAAGGAGGCAGTGGGAGAGACAGGGTGCCTGGATTCGAGAGGCCACTGGGTGGGATGCAGGAGGGAGGGCTAATTCTCCAGCGTCACCAGTGGGGGAGGGCTCACAGTGGCTGTTAACAGCCATCCGTCTTAGGAGGGACTTTGGACCTCTTCACCTGACGCAGACAGGCTTCAGTGAGCAACTCTTACTATTTCAAAGGACTTTCCTGAAGTTTGAACAGGAGGGGTGAGGGGGAGCATCTGTGGGAGGGGAAGTAAATAGAGGCCGTGGGGGTCACCTGCAGGGAGAGCATGTCCTGGCTGCATTCCCTGGGTCTGTGTGGCACAGGGACATGAACTCTTTGGCACTTAAACGTGTTTGGGATGAGAGGAAAAAGAATACATGAGGCAAAACAGAAATCCAGGCAAATTGCTTAGTGCAGAAGTAGCAGTAACATGGCATTTCATGCATTACAGTTCTTTTACACTGACATTCTGTAACTTATTTATCCATCCTAAAATGGTGACTTTTAGGACTCACTGCATTTAATAGGACATTTGGTGTAAATGTAAACACCTAATATTTCCATATATATTCAACCAACTTTATTTTTTATTTTTATTTTTTTATAATTTTATTTTATTTTTTTTCCCGCAAAGCCCCAGTTAGATAGTTGTATGTCATAGCTGCACATCCTTCTAGTTGCCGTATGTGGGACGCGGCCTCAGCATGGCCGGAGAAGCGGTGCATCGGTGCGCGCCCGGGATCCAATCCTGGGCTGCCAGCAGCGGAGCACGCGCACTTAACCTCTAAGCCACGGGGCCGGCCCTCAACCAACTTTAAATAATTAGCTATAAAAAGTGTAAGATAAAAAACAACCTTGAAAATTCATAACTATGCAGCATTAATTATCTAATACTAATAGCATATGTAATACCAACCTTATATGTATTTTAGAGCCATCAACAGCAAATAAAATTCACAATGGCAAAAATGCCACAACATAAGTTCAACAAGTATTCCGTGTGCTCTTTCCTATAACCTGAAATGTAAAATGAATTTCTGCTTCAAATACTGCAAAAATCAGTCTCTAGTCTAAAGCTACTAAATTTCTGTCAGAAAAACAGACCCATCAGTTTAAAATACACAACTAATAATTATGCAAATACCAAATAAAAATATACAGAAAAATCAATGACTAGGAGGAAGACACTTTGAGGAAGAAGCCCTGAGACCTTCCTAATCCTCCCAAATGCTCACACACCACTGGTGACGGAGACGGCTGGCTACCACTCCACACCCTCTACCCTGCTGCGTGTCCACGCCACCTCTGACTCGGATCTGATGGAGACGGCTGGCTACCAGTCCACAGCCTCTACCCCGCTGTGTGTCCACACCACCTCTGACTCTGATCCGATGGAGAGGGCTGGCTACCACTCCATGGCCCTCTACCCCGCTGTGTGTTCACGCCACCTCTGACTCTGATCTGGACACATGGCTATGCAGGCGAACGACCACAACCCCCTACCAGCCTCCCCTCGGCCAGTGCTCTAGCCAATGAGGAGTGAGCAAGCAGACATGACATGTACGCCCTCCTCCTCTTCTACCCCACCAACTGGAACGCAGATGTGGTGGGCAACACTGCACCTTGGGCCGTGCAGACAAGGCTACTCTTGGGAGAGCACAGCAACAAAACAGAACGTCATTCCATCCCTCAGCAAAGTCACTACACCAACTCAGATTTTCGACAGAGAAAACTATATTTCTGTCTTGTGTAAGCCAACTACTATCGTGGTCTCTGACATAACACTGCCAAAACTGTATCTCTTTTTCCTCAAGTTCCTTAGCTATAATGTGGGGTTAATAACAACACCTCTCATACTGTAAGGATTAAATGTTTTAAATAAAAAGAAGAAAGCAGCATCTGTGTAAGTAGTAGGCTCAGTCTGCAGCTAAATAACTTGTTTTCTCAGGCCAGCCTTGGGTGTCGGCATTTCTCAGCCATATTACAAGTGATAGAGCTTTGCAGTGATCTGAAAAATAGACAAAGCCCTAGACGTTAAGCAGTCAAATGACATGGCTCTGCTTAACTACAACTTACATGCTGTGATTGATGTTACACTGGTTATTCTCTCTCTCAAGTTCCTGACTCCAAGATTCATATCTTTTCCAGCCGTCTTCTGTTTTAATCCAACTCCATCCAGGAGATCTCCAGTCCTGACCCAAAAATGGCATAGTTATCCTATAAAAAAAGTTAGTTTATGTTAAAAACGTATGTGTAATTAACCAAAGTTTCTTTTCATTTAGAACATTTATTCATTACTTTTAATGAATACAGTTCTTACCTAATATTTAAATGTCTGCATATGCTTTAAATGCTGGCTAGACATTGGAGATAAAATGGTGAAGAAAACATAGTACCTCAGAAGACAGGATAAGTACTGGTAGATTTACTAGCCCAATACTGCATATGTCACAAAAGGGTTACCAGATGTGACATCTCATACCTGAGGAACAAGTAGGAGTCAGGGAGTGAGGAAGAATAGGGAGTATTATACCAGCGAAAACTCTCTTTGCTCTAGATTAGAAGCAACTTAACGTGAAACATATTCACGTTCAGCTTACAGTACAGTCACATGTCACATAAAAACGCTTTGGTCAACAACGGACCGCACGTATGATGGTGGTCCCACAGGATTAGTTCATAGAGCCTAGGTGTGTAGGAGGCTGTACCATCTAGGGTTGTGCGAGTATACTCTACAAAGCTCGCACAACGACATCGCCTAACGACACATTTCTCAGAATGTGTCCCCGTCGTTAAGCGTGACCATGTAAGAGAGGGAGTGGGGAGCAGCTAGAAGAATGGAGGGGCTGGCCCCATGGCTTAGCGCTTAAGTGCACGCACTCCACTACTGGCGGCCCGGGTTTGGAGCCTGGGCGCGCACCGACTCACTGCTTCTCCGGCCACGTTGAGGCCGCGTCCCACATACAGCAACTAGAAGGATGTGAAACTATGACATACAACTATCTACTGGGGCTTTGGGGAAAGAAAAGGAGGAGGACTGGCAATAGATGTTAGCTCAGAGCCGGTCTTCCTCAGCAAAAAGAGGAGGATTAGCATGGATGTTAGCTCAGGGCTGATCTTCCTCACAAAAAAAAAAAAAAAAGAAAGAAAGAACGGAGAAGTGACTAACGGAGAGATCAAGTCAAAGGAGTGGACTTTACTCAGGTCAACGAGGAGCCAAGAAAGAGACAAGACTTCAGCAGGTAAGTGATTCCATTAGATTTGAGCTTCACAGAGAACTGAGGGCTACACTGCGGAGAATGGATTGTCCACTCCTCCAGGGCACCTGGAGGAAACCAGAGCTAGGACTGGAGGCTACTCAATACCGGCCTCTAAAGGGTGAGAGAGTGGCTGCATAGGAACAGACAGAAGAGACTCTAGAAATACTTAGGAGGTCGAGGGAAACAGCAATCCAGGGGCTTCCATCTGGTGCGTTCTCTCTCTCGCTCTCTCATTTACTGACTCCAGGGGAAGCCAGCTACAATGTTCTGAGCTATCCCAGGAGAAGGCCCACGGGGCAAGGAACAAAGCCAGGCAGGCTGGAAGTATGGGGGGAAACCAAAGACATCCAGATTTTGATTTCTGGCACCTGGCTCTGAGAAAAGGAATACAGAAAGAAGAGACGATTTCAGTCTTGGACATGCCTCTTGGGTTTGCTATGCCTGTGTGACAGGCACTATACTAGATTCCAGGTACAAAAATTATGACTTAAAAATGATGAAACAGACATTATTACCTTCATAAAGCTTACAATCTGGTGAGAGCAAGACCTTGAATACTAGCTCCTCCATTGCCTGGAACTGCCTTCCTCCTGATCAGTGGTTCTTGACCCCTGCTGTGCATTAACACTACAGTCCTGGAAGCTTTTAAAAAGCACAAGTGCTTAGCCCCATCCCAGACCAACTAAATATGAATGTTTGTGGTGACTGCTAAGTTAAGTATTTTTTCAAAGGTCCACCAGTCATTCTCATGCACAGTGAGGTCTAAGAACTGGCTTGGATGCTCACGCTGCTGATTCAAAATGTCACCGCCCAGAAAGGCTCCCCTGACCACTTGATCCAAACAGCTCTCTCTCCCTCCCTCTCCAGCCACTCCCGGCAGTCTCTCTGCCATTACCTAGTGTCTTCACAGCAACAAGTGCCGTCTGAAATTACTGTATGTTTACTGTCTGTCTTCCTCCAAGAAATGCAACGTCTTGTTCAACTCTGTATCCCAATTACCTTGAACAATGCCAGGCAGGCAAAAGAAGCTCAATAAACTGAATGAATGCATGCATCTACAGATCCACGGCTCAGGAGAGAGTAAGGCTGCAGAGACAGGAAAATCATCAGCACTAGAGAGTAATCAAAGCCATGAGATTGATATCACAGACAGAGCGTATACAGCATGAGAAAAGACGAGAGCCGAAGAAAAACCTCTAAGGGACACTGACATTTAAGGGACAGGCACATGGAGATGAGCCAAGAAAGGAAACGGAAAAGGGAGAGCCAGAGAGGTAGGGAGGAAAGTAGAAGTCAAGAGAAGAATGTACTTTAAGAAACACATGATCAACAGAAAGGAAAACGTTATAAAGAAACCAGTATGGTAAGAACTGAAAAGTATACATTGAATTTAGCTACAAAAAAAAGTAGCTGATAATTCAGTCAAAGATAGTTTAATAGAGTAGTGGGTTATATTAATCTCATGTCCAAAACAGATTTTGGGTACTTCACTAATGTGGAATATTTACATCATAGACTACATGAGAGATGAAAGTGTTCAAATACCATCTCCCAACTACATTTACTATAACTAACAAAGAACAGGCTATTAAGTAGGCATTTGTATTGGCTTAGAAGAGACAAAAACAAGTTCAGAAGGAAACTATAAGTCTCCAACAACATTCCTGAGTCAACCACAAGTGCTCAGTTCCTGAACTGGTTTATGAAACGTGTGAAGTCATTTTCATTTGTACCACGAGGATCTCAACACCTTGTAAACTAACTTATAATTAGAACATCTTTTTCAGTCACATATTGAATTCACTTAAACTCTTGCTTCAGAAGATAAAAATCATTCCTTAAATCTCAGGACTATTTTGATAAGCCTCGTCTTACAGACTCGTCTCACAACAGCTGCTCACCTTGAAATGCAAAAGCCACCATCACATTCAGTCAACCCACAGAACTATCTAAGATGGCCTCTAACAGATGCATCTGATTTTCTGACTCACGAAGCTCCACATACAGGCCAGAGAAACCCCTACAAAGGAAGGCAAGCACTGTGATGTGGCAGATGATGCTTAGGTGGCAAATTCCGTCTCGTAAAACACATACAAGGGAAAAATGTCTGTTAGAACCATCTCTGACAACTGCCAAAGTATCTCTCAATATCAGATTAAAACTGTCTTAATTTGATTAAACTGATTAAAAATTCAGAGGTCTGTGTTAAAAAAAAAAAAAAAGTGGCAACTGTGCAGAATATTGCTAAGTAGACCAAATACAGGATCACTTCTATGACAAAGATTTAAGCACAGACTAAATGTGTTACTGTGCTGTGTCCCTGCCCTAGGGTGTGCCCTCTAGCTGAGGGACTAAAAACAACAGCAAAACCCACACACAATAACGTATGTAAATATATGTAAATACATACATATGTGCACTCTGTAATGTGAGTATGGAACGACTATAAAGAGAGAATAACTTAAGGAAACTCAGAGCAAAAAGTAAACCATCTGGGAAACCTCTGAAGAGAACTAGGACATGAGCTTGGCCTTAATGCATGGTTAGACCTTAAGTCAACGGAGAAACAATGAAAATGAAAAAGTACCAACCACAGAGGTGGTGGGGAAAAAACAAGAAGATGGAACACAGGTGACACATTTGAGAATAATAAGCAGAATGGGTTGGCTGAAACAGAGAAATCGACGGGAAGGTTGGTAGGTAGAAGCCAAGAAAGGTGATTAGAAGCCAGATCACAGAGAACGTTGAAAATAAAAGGCGTTTGAACTTTATTCTCTAAATAATTAAAAGGTTTTGAGCAATGTAGCGACATGAGCAGTGTAGTTTTGAACATAATTTGCCAGGGCCTGCAGGACAGACTGAAGGGGAGAACGGAGGCAGAAAGTACAACTCATTAGGCAACAGAAACTTCTTACTGACACCTCAGCTGACAAAATATTTTAAAGCTTAATGACACACAAACATTGTACCATCTATTCAGACACTATATAACACACTTATAGTCAGGCCTCACCAACAAGCCCTGTAACACTTACTCAGTTTCCACCGTAAAGTTAGGACTCGGCTTGGTGTTTCCAGGGAGATAATCAATTCTTCAGCAATCACTAAACTCTACAGATAATTCATTTTGACTTTAACAACTCTGTGAGAAATGAATATAGTTGGCCTGAATTTTTCAGCTGCTAAGTGTCTGTATTTCCATGGGCTGGAAGGAGTGAAATGCAACTAAATGGATCATGGAAATAAAAAATAGTACATTTCCAAAGTTTTTCTTTCCAACACAGAGGAAAAGATTTGTTTCACTGTAGATTGATTCCATAGATTGTCATGTCATGCTCTTTGGATTACAATCACATTTATTTTAAAGTATAATCTTATACAGTTCATGAACTAAAGCACAGACTCTGGTAGTAGAGTTATTAAACAATAACAAAAAAGACATCGTGGGGGAAAGCAAAAAGTGAAAAAAAAACACAAGTTGCAATTTGAAAGGCCTGAGTCTCAAATTTTCAAAAACATTCCCAATCTAAAGCACCTAAGTTTGCAAACTGGAAAACAATACTACTAAACTTTTGGAATGATCAGGACCCATCACTTTCTATGAGAATTTACTTATCTGTTCTGCTAAGAGACCTGAACTGCTGGGGTTTTAGAAAATTTATTTTAATTAAAATTACCTTTCTTGTGACAATTTCCAAATAAAAAATAAAAAATAGAAATTACTGTTCAAAATTATTAAATGTCTAAGAACAATTACTCAAAGTGTGGCTACTCAGTAGGGAAACAGTTGGAACACATTTTATGCCAACTGATATCACAGAACATCAGGGGCCAAACTGTTGTAAATCTTCCCTTAATTTCTGTTTTATAAGGCAAGACATGAACTTGGAGCACGACAGGGCACGGAGGTGGAGCACTCGTAGAATATGGGGGTGGAGTACGGCAGGACATGGGAGTGGAGCACTCGTAGAATATGGGGCGAAGCACGGTAGGACACGGGAGTGGAGCACTTGTGGAATATGGGGGTGGAGCATGGCAGGACACGGGTGGAACACCGCAGGTCATGGGGTGGAGCACTACAGGACACGGGGTGGAACACGGCAGGACATGGGGTGGAGCACGGGCAGGACATGGGGGTGGAGCATGGCAAGACATGAGGTTGGAGCACAGCAGGACACGGGGGTGGAGCACTCGTAGAATATGGGGGTGGAGCACGGCAGGAGATGGGGCTGGAGCATGGCAGGACATGACCTTGGAGTTCAGCAGAACATGGTGGTGGAGCACAGCAGGACATGAGGGTGGAGTTCAGTAGGACATAGGTGTGGAGCACGGGGAGGACATGGGGTGGAGCACGGGGAGGACATGGGGGTGGAGCACGGGGAGGACATGGGGGTGGAGCACGGGGAGGACATGGGGGTGGAACACAGGCAGGACATGGGGTGGAGCACAGGCAGGACATGGGGTGGAGCACAGGGAGGACATGAGGGTGGAGCACAGGGAGGACAGGGGGTGGAGCACACGGAGGACAGGGGGTGGAGCACAGGGAGGACAGGAGGTGGAGCACAGGGAGGACAAGGGGGTGGAGCACAGGGAAGACAAGGGGGTGGAGCACAGGGAAGACAGGGGGGTGGAGCACTGCAGAACAGGGCTTCATGAAGTTCATTTGCCAGTGGAAATTCCTGACATGAGCGAGTCAGAACTAACCAAGAAATGTCTTTCCTTCAACAAGCATACTTTCGTTAACTAACGATAATAATAACAGCAAACTTTTATTAGATCTTGGTATGGGTTAAGCATTACCTTAAACAATTTACCTGTATTACCTCATTTAGTCCTTAAGCTACCCTACAAGGTAGAAATGTTAACCCATTTTACAGGTTTGTCTCTATTTTATTTTATTTTATTTATTTTTTTTTTTTTTTAAAGATTTTATTTATTCAGTTTTTTCCCCCCAAAGCCCCAGTAGACAGTTGTATGTCATAGGTTCACATCCTTCTAGTTGCTGTACGTGGGACCCGGCCTCGTGTTGGAGGGAGAAGTGGTGCCTCGGGGCGCTCCCGGGATCCGAACCCGGGTCGCCAGCATCAGAGCGCACGCACTTAACCGCCAAGCCACAGAGCCGGCCCTGTCTCTATTTTATAGATGAAGAAACAGCTGCCAAAAGTTTGGTGGAGCCTGGATTGATGCTCATGGAATCTCACTCCAGGGTCCTTGCTCCATCACTCTATTTTTATAGTAGCAATTCCTGAACACACTATGAAACTAGATGTCATAACATTGCCAGGTTTTTTTTTTACACTTTTTCCTTTATATTATGTATATCACCAGACACGACCTAAAGTAATGACTGATTTAAATATAAAAACGCTAAGACAAGGAAAACAGGACAAGAAATGTAACTAATAAATTGTAAGAGGCTACATGAATTTTGTTCTTTGTGTTTAAGTTAGTTGAAAAAGAGATGGAATAACCAGTACTTACAGCAGTTATTAAGTTGATCTTCAATAAAAACTATAAGGGCAGAGCAAGAGCTGGTGCTATACACACTGTACACAAGAAACAGACAAATCACAATGAAAATAAGTCAGGCAGTTTCACATTCAGAGAAAAAGACTGGCAAAGGAGCTTCTTTTCCCTTTATTTCTTATTTTTCATCATAAATTTTTTTGAGGAAGATGGGCCCTGAGCTAACATCTGTTGCCAATTCTCCTCTTTTTCTTTTTTTTCTCCCCAAAGCCCCAATACATAGTTGTATATCCTATTTGTATGTCCTTGTAGTTCTTCTATGGGGGACACTGCTTTAGCATGCCTTGGTGAGCGGTGAGTAGGTCTGCACTCAGGATCTGAACTGGCGAACCGGGACTGCCAAAGCAGAGGGCGAAAACTTAACTGTTACTCCACCCGGCTGGCCCATCATCATAAATTTTGACAAAATAATTTTCATTGTTCTGAGATAAGAAAGAATGGTCCTCAATTTGATAGGCATTTGATCTTTTTTATTGCTTTCTTTTCCTTACAAGAAAATTCCAAATAATTTAGAGACAAACGATGAATACACTTACAAGTGTGGAAGAATCTGACCGAGACCACCATGAAGAAATGGCAAATTGAGGGCTGAGAATGAGAAATGAGATCTACTGTAAGAAGGCGTGCAAGATAATCACAAATGCTTCATGGAAATAGAGAACATGCAAAAAAAGAGAGAGAGAAATGTAATATGAAAGAATAAGAAAAAATGTGTCTTTTCTGATACGGGCTGGATGGTAAGGATTTGGAGGAGGCAAGAAAAAAGGGCTTCACAGGGAAAGAGACGATTCTCTAAAGTCCTGAGTTTTCAAAATGAGTTTGAATAGGCCTGAGAGAAAGATGAAATTCGGTTGGAAGACAGGCGAAAACTAAGCTTACTGTGAAGTGAAGAATGCAAAATTCAGGAGTGTCAGCTGCAAGAGAAATAAGTCAGGAAGGCATTGAAAAGGAGACGGGAGCCGCCAACGAGGAGCAGAGAGAGGGAGGGGAGGCCGTGGACGAGGCACAGAGTGGACTGCAGAAGGGCGGTCGTACCGAGCCAGGGGTCCCCGCAGAGCGAGGACAAGGGGCCGGGGCCGAGGGGCAGATCGAGGCAAGGGAGGAGCCCCGAACGGTCGAGAGGGAGGCCGAGAGCGAGGCCCACACTGCGGGGGTGGGCGGGAAGGGCGCGCGGGGGCGCCCCACCAGAGGCCGAGCCGTGCTGCCGGCAGACCGCCTCCGTCCCCACCTGGAGCGCCGACGGCCCCCCTGCCCACCTGGGGCGAGGACAACCTCGGTCCCCACCTGCGGCGCCGACGCCTCCCCCGCCCACCTGAGCGCAGACAACCTCAGTCCCCACCTGGAGCGCCGACAGCCCCCGCGCCCACCTGGAGCGCTGCCACCTCACTCCCCACCTGGGGCGCGGACGCCCACCTCGAGCCCGTCCCTACCAGGAGCGCCGACGCCCCCGGCCCCACCTCGAGGGCGGACAACCTCGATCCCCACCTGGAGCGCGGACACCTAGGTCCCCACCTGACGCCGGCGCCGCAGGGTTTATTGCCGGAAGTCGCCCTCCCCGGTCCCAGGAGCGCGGCGGCGAAGTCCCGCCTCCGGCCGCGCTGATTGGTCGGCGGGGCTCCTCGGGCCCTTGTTGCTACCGTGTTTCCCGAGGCCGGCGGCGCGCGCATGCACATTGGGCGCCGCCGCCCCCCGCTCCCCGCCCCTGCCAGCGCGTGCTCAGTGAGCGGGGCGCGGAGAAGCCGGAAGCGGCCCCGCGTGGGGGTGGGAGGCGGCCCTATACACCGTGTGTTCCTACCAGAGGAGCGGGCCAGGGCCTGGTCCCCGCTGGCCGTCTGGGCTGCTCAGATGCGCAGACTCTCTGATCCCAACCTGCTCAATTGTCCAACCCAGCCACGGCCCCAGACGCAATCTGAGTTTCGGGAATGCGGCTTAGATTTGCCCCCAAACCTCCTGTGCACCTCATTATCTTGTATACTTACCTTTAAGGCTCAAGTGCTTTCTATTTATAAACAATTTAGAATACTGTTTAGATCTTTCTAGAGGGTTGGCAGTGTTCTGGAGGCCCTGCTTCAGCATGTGGGTTTTTTTCCCAATTAGGAAAAAGAATGTGGGGGACAGTGGGAGGGATGAGGAGCAAGGTCGCTGAATCAGGCGGCAGAGTTCAGATCACGCTGATAAGATCCCCAGCTCTAAACCCGACTGCTGGGGTTGGGATACCGGATGGGCTGCTGGCGAGTGTGTGGACTCAGTAAAGCCTTAACCTCTCTGTGCCTATTCCCCCACGAGTCCAATGGAGATAGGAGTGGTACCTCGCAGGATGTTTGTAAGAATTAAATGAGTTAACATAGGAAAAATATTTAAAACAGTGCCTGGTGTATACTGAACAGTATATAAGTATTTGATCTTAATATTTTTCATTATAAAATGCATGTTTTTATATTTGGAACACATTGCAGGAAGCATATAGCAGGTATTCATACTTTGGAAAAATATTTTTATAAATTATGCTGTGCTTATTACAATAGTGTTCTTTGACCGCATGCTTTTAAAATAATGTAAAAAGGGGTTCTGGACTGAAGTTGGTAATGTTGCTTGCATATCCCCAATTTAAAAATTGCCCCCTTCTTTTCTTTCCTTCTCCCTCCCTCCCTTCCTTCCTTTCTTTATTTCTTTCACAGTTGCAGATTATTCCATTTTATTCCATTATGTGGATATATCGTAGTTTATTTAGATATTCTCCATGGATGGGCATTAGATTCTTTCCAATATTTTGCCATTAAAAATAATGCCGCATGAATAACTGTGTATGTATGGTTTTGTTTGTTTGTTTTTAATTTATGGCAGTATATTTGCAAGTAAATTACTATAATTGGAATTGCTGGGTCAAGGATAACTGCATACGGAATTTTGGTAGATGGTGCCAAGCCAAGACCCCACTATCACCATGGGGCCGCAAGAAGACTATTAAATTTAGCCTAATTTGCCGACATCCACATAGCTCCTTGTGAAGGGATTCTACTGGCTGGATTGAGAGGAGGCAAAGTAACAGGAATACAGAATAAGAGCAGGAGCACACAGTAACAGTAGATATCCACACAGTAACAGCAGGAGGCCAGAGAGTAACAGCAGGAGCCCCCACGGTAACAGCAGGAGCCCCCACAGTAAAAGCAGGAGCCCAGAAAGGGGTTCAGGTCAATTCCGGTCAACAAGCATCTCTGAGAGTGTACTTTGCTCTAGTCATTGTACTCTACGCTTGTAAAGACGAACATGTTCCCTGCCCTCTGGAATCTCCACCAGTGGAGGAGGAGAAAACAGGAGAGGGCCAGGAGGAATGCCTCTGTAGAGGTGAGGTGTGGCTGGGGGCTGTGGAGGAGTCACCCAGGTGGAAGGCTCAGTGTGGGGAAACAAGAACTGAAAAGAGGTACCTTCTTACCAAAGATCATACAGGCATTCAATTCATCTAACATGTTTATCTACTCTAAGGAAAATATCAGATTTCTTTATTTTCTTTAAAATAATCCAATTCTGATAAGATCCAAGGATTTGGGGACATTTAAACTCATTGTTGCAGCCCCTCCCCAAAGTTGGGGTCTCTCACAGCAGTAAGCTGGGGCAGTCCGTGGTCACAGGCAGCCCTGGGTGCCTCCAGGCCTCACTGGGGGCCTGGGGTGACAGCCAGCATAGGGCCCCCCATGCTCCCTGAAGTACACTACACAGCCATCTCCCTCACCTTCCCAAATGCTGCATAGATCAGGCTGTGTGTCCTTGATCCTCTTGGGATAATCTCAACTTTGTCCCCTCCAGGCTCAAGGAGTTGTCTCTTTCTCCTTGTTCCATCCCCTCTGGAACACTTATCAAAATATATCTAATGGAGTCTTTATGCAACACATGAAGAATAATTCTGCTTTGCATATAGTGATAATATTGAGATAAGAAATAAAAACCAAACCAAACCACCAAAACAAAACCTTATGACCTTGGTATAGAACTGGCAGAGTAATATGTAAATTCGTGTCTCCAAAGTGAATGTACCATGCAGACTACACGCTGGGCACTGTGAGAGATTCATTCAATGCAGATAAAGGATGGCAAACACAGTGATAAAACGAGGTGATGAGGGCTGTAAGGACGTCCACAATGTGGAGGGAACCCAGGGGCAAGAGCAACAGAGATGCCTCCAGGAGAGCACTGGAAGGTCGAGTGAGCTGTGAGCATCAGAAGCCAACAGGTAGCTGTGGTGAGGCCAGAGGCAGGAGACCGGGTTGGGCAAGCATGTTGTTTGCTTATTTGTTTCAAATCTCCTCTTGGTCTTGAGTCTCTTAATCTTTCAAATAGGGATTAGAATAGAATTTTAGGGTTGTAAACTAAGTTGGTGGCCAGGAGCACATGGTGAGTGTGTGATGTCAGAATGGGAAGGCTAACATGAAGGCACAGCCACCTACGGGCATCTCAACCCCCAAATTTGAAACTCTGTACTTGCCAAACAGAACTTTTCTTCAACAGGATTCATCCTAATAGTAGCCAGTTTGCAAGCCCACAACTCTTTATCCAGCTCTGAAACCCTCTCTGCTCAGCCTGGCACCATGCCACAGCCAGGCTGACCCTCCCTCCTGATGAAGAGGTGGTTCATTGTACTAGAACTAGAGTTGGGACCATCGCCTAATGTCTAGATAGGCAGCTTTGGGTAAGTAACTTAACCTCCCGAGCCTTGGTTTCTCAACTCAAAGTGAAGGTAGTGGTGTCTACCTCTATGTAACCCTACTTGTAGATATATTTACATTCATACGTATGAGCCAGCACATTCCACTTCTAGGTGTGTATCAAAGATAAATTAAAACGTGTCCGCAGAAAGCACACACAATAATACTCACAGCAGTTTTAGTCATTGGAACAACTTAGATATCTACCTACAGGAAAGTGATTAACAGGGCCAGCCCGGTGGTGCAAGCAGTTAAGTGTGCGCACTCAGCTGCAGCGGCCCGGGGTTCGCAGGTTAGGATCCCTGGCGCACACCAATGCACCACTCATCCAGCCATGCTGTGGCGGCGTCCCATATAAAGTAGAGGAAGATGGGCACGGATGTTAGCCCAGGGCCAGTCTTCCTCAAGAAGAACGGGGAGGATTGGCATCAGATGTTAGCTCAGGGCTAGTCCTCCTCACAAAAAAAAAAAGAAAGAAAGAAAGTGATTAACAAACTGGGGGGGGCCGGCCCAGTGGCGTAGCAGTTAAGTGCGTGCGCTCCACTGTGGCGCCGCAGGGTTCGGATCCCAGGCACGCACCAACACACTGCTTGTCAAGCCATGCTGTTGTGGTGTCCCATATAAAGTGGAAGAAGATGGGCACGGATGGGCATGGATGTTAGCCCAGGGCCAGTCTTCCTCAGCAAAAAGAGGAGGATTGGCAACAGATGTTAGCTCAGGACTAATCTTCCTCACCAAAA